AAAAATGGTCTTACACTAAAAATTGAATATCTCAGCAACGGTTTGAACTATCGAGGTACGGTTGGTGGCAAAAAACTCATTAATTGATGCACTTTTCAAATATGGAAGTGAAATCAAAGTTTAAGAAAATCGATTGAGCAGCCTCTGTAGCAAAAGGTCGTGGCTTATGTGCAATGGCTGTTATATTAGCTAGTAGTATATATGGTAAAAATATGAGATATAACTCGCAATGTTAACAGAAGAAATCGAAAAAATACTTTGTTATCTTACTTATGGCCCACCCTGTGTATACAAGTCTTTTATCATGTCACTTTATAGCTACCATATTTGCAGTGTGTTTTACAAACTGCTCTCCTCGCTGTAATATTCCTTGAAATTTTGGAAAACCAGAACGGTTCTGTTTCGCAGTGATAGAAGCACCAGTTGAACGTTCATACAGAGCCTGAAATAACTTTGGGCCTGAGTACCAATTATCAACGTAAAGAACATGGCCTTTGTCAAGATACTTTTCCATTAATGTTATAGCCATCGAACCAGAAACACAAAGTTCTGAAGTTCTAGTTATTTCAGTAGTACTTCCACTACAGATTATGAAATCTAAAACATATCCAATTGAACAGTCACATATAAGAAATAATTTGATCCCATATCGACTTCTTTTCAAAGAAATATCTTGCTTGATTTTCAGACGACCTTTGAAAGTACCAAGCTTTTATCAATACATAGGTTCTGATATGGACAAAAGCTGTTCGAAAATTTCTTTTCATGTCACATAGAATCGAGTTTATTTTATACAGTGGATCGCCTTCTGGTTGCTCTTCGATATCACTAAAGCGCAGGCATCGTGATATAGTGACGTATCGATGATATGAGAACAATTCATTGAAAATAGGCATCATTAATAATCTGTCAGTTGACCAGTAATCCTTCAGTTTATTCTTTTTTCTTCAACAATATCAATACTGTTGTTACTAAAAACAAATACATCTCTTCGATTGTTACATTGTACTAAGAAAGTATTCTTGGTGTCTGAGATAATTCTTTCCCAATTTGAGCAAAGTACAAATTTGTCTAATCGGCAATCGTTTTTACCAAGGCTTTGTCAAAATATAAACAAAAAAAGTCCAGATGAGTGTTACCTTTGAATTTTCGTGAGACTATCGATGTATACCACTGTTGGTAGAACTAAATGTCAGTTTTTTTGCGCGAAAATATTCTATTGTCCAAGATTCATTGTAAAATGAAGAAGACACTGGTTGCAAGAAATCTATATCAGAAACATCATCAGAGTCACTGCTGTGGTCAGTTGGACCTGTTTCAACTTCAGATCCTGATTCAGAGTCTGATGAAATGTTATCGACTTCTACATCCGAAAATCGACATGCTGCCATGTTCGTAAAGCAAATGCGTTAAGTTCCGATCTACTATTGTGTGTATTTTAATTGTTGTTTATTCACGATTTCGGAGTATAAGGGGAGTCACAAAAAATACCGAATTCAAAGTAATATATATATATATATAGAGAGAGAGAGAGACAAAGAGAGAGAAAGAACAGAAGACAAGAAAATGCACTGAAGTCACCAGAATGTATAAAAAAAATGAGAAAGATATAGCGTGTGTGCTTCCCATACATTATAAAGAAAAGAGGCAAGAGAACAAAAGATAAGCATATATACACCAAACTGACTGTCCTCCATACACACTTTTTGTTCTAAGACATGATATTAGAGCATATTATTATGAAATAACGGTATAACAAGTTTCAGGTGTCTGATACTTGTTTCTACGCAACGAATCTAAAAAACATGCATTACGATTGAGTGTGTCAGTTTTGTACACGAATAAAGTCCATGACGTATACCGGATATCCCAAAAGTAAGGAAGAATAATGGGTATCCGATAATAACTGATGAAAAACTGTTAGTGATATTTTTCTTACTTTTTATTGATGTAGAAAGCTGAAACTTTCAGAAATAAAAGGTCTTAATTAGATATATATGTAATAAATGTTTCAGCTCTCTACATCAATAAAAAGTATGAAAAATATCATTAACAGTTTTTCATCAGTTATTACCGGATATCCATTATTTTTCCTTACTTTTGGGACATCCGGTATATCCGCGGTGACAGCCAAAGGGTTAAGAAAAGTTGTAAAAAAAACAATAATTCTTCGAAAAACATAAATATCTGATTTATAATAAAATATCTAACATAAATTGGATACGATACATTAGATTACCTTGTTGCTGATCCATCCATTTATTTCATTACTTGTACCAATATCATTAAAAGACTTTTTAGCTTGATCACCAAAAAGTGCTAATGGAGATTCATCCATATTGCAAATATCTTCAGGAGTAAATACACCCATAGGACCACGTTTAATTGACCATAAACTAACACGACGATAGAACATATACAAAGAATTAGCTAAACGATGGACTTCATCAACTGGTACTTTTGTCTTGTCTCATGGGTCATTGTAATGATAAACAAGGTGTGGGTGTGGGTGTGGATGTGAGTAAAGAGGGAAATCATACACAGCCACAGCCACAGCCACACCCTTGTACCATCACCTTCTAATCGTCTTCGTTTATCATCTAACAGATACGAGAGAAGATAGTTTCACTCTCAACTAAAAGAGAGTGAAAGCAAATCTTTTTTTATTTGGTACATCTTTAATAAATTTTCTTTATTTTTAATCCAATTTCATAATTGAGCAGATATACATTCTTCTTTCTTCGCAGTTTCATGTTTACGTTGATTTTTATCAAATAATGGAACAGCATCAAGTTTTTTCTTTCACCGTCCACTGACGTTGTCTACGTTTCGTAATTTTTTCTTGAATATTCCCATGACTAAATGAAGTAGTGGACAACGCCACCTGTTAAGAATTACTTAATCCTTCAATATCGGATGAGTCTTAAGAAAGTAATGTTGGAGGTGGTTCAGGCTATTGAAAACCTTGATTATAATCATTGTCGTATTCAGATTCCGATTGAAGATACGTTGACAAAGGTACTAATTCATTTTCACATTCGTTAATGGTCGAAGTAACTTCAACACTTGAATCTTAATCATCACAAAGAGATACAAGATGTTGTTCTTCCATACTTCATATATTCACTAATATATATTACTGATACAAATAAACTTTAATATTATTCATTCTCTCCTTCTTACGCCATTTATAGCTTTCTCTTTCCTCTTGCTTTCATTTTAGTTGAAATTTTTTTTTTCTTTCTCCGACGGAAATTTACTCCCGTTCTGCATAGATAAATTGTTACTTTCTATTCTATCCTGTTATGACTTTTATTCTTCAATAAACTCAATTCAACAATAGCTCAAGAAAAAAAGTCAAGAAGATTTAAAAGAAAGATTTTTTACAAGATCCTGGTCTTCTATTGTGAATTTCGCATCGCTCCTCAAGGAGGATCTTCTATTATGGGGAGAGGGGGTATATTAATGTTGTTTGGCCACAGTTGGCGAACGTCTTATTGAGAAATTCCGGAATCTCGAATAATCCACTCTTGTACTTTAAAAAAATTTTTCATAAACTCTTCAGAAGGTTTATACCAATGTCGTATACGCTTCAAACGTTTCGGAATCGAAGGATTTATAATAGTAAGAGTATATCAAAATGGAAAGGGTATATAATTTATATTTAATGATTCATTATTCAAAGTTTCTATCGGAAATATTTATTATTCTACGCTGCTATTACAAGAATTTACTACTCATGATGTAAGGATATATAACTGCCTGCTTTTATCAAGAACGTTTATTGTTCTACACATCATATATCGATGGATAGAGAATAAGTTAAACTACACATATATACATGGGGCCTGATTCACTAGCTTATTGTTTCAAATTTCTTCGATATATACAAAAATGTCTCATTTTCATGATACCCTTCCTCGGACAAAGAAAAGTTCTTGTTTCCGATACATTTTTTCATAACCTAATACGCTATGTAAAAAAAAAGCAAAATATATCACAAGATGTAGCATGAAAAGCTCTACAGTTTATAAAGGACAGCTTATTTGATAATTGCATCTTTTATTTTGAAAATGGACAAAATTGTGAGCCACTAATATTTAACTCTTTGAAAAAAATAATATTTTGGTACACGATGAATTCTTTTTCTTATATCATCAATGCATGAATCATTCTTTTTTAAACTTTATTCCATTGTTGGGCCATCGATTATGACTTTCGATACAACTCTTTAACCAAAACAATAAGAAAAAGAATTGATATTGTGCCAAAAATAATCTTATTCGCAGCGCCAAAAATTAGTCGTACAGAATTGCGTTCATTTTGAGTAAAAAGTGTAACTATAGAATGAGCTGTTCTTTGTAAATTATAGAGCTACTCACGCTGCATCTTGTGGTGTATTTTGTTTTCTAACATAGCGTCTTAGGTGATTAAAAAAATGAATTGGAAAAAAGGAACTTTTTTTGTCCAAGGGATATTGAAAAAAGGAGATATACTACGGAACTTATGAGATTTGGTAAAAATTTACTATATCTTATAAGGTATCGCACACATCGGCAAAACATTAGCAAGGTCTTGCAGTGTTTCGGTGAAAAACATTCCTAAGAAAATCACCATTATTTTTGATTACCAATGTAAAAATCTAGTCTTTCGGACGAACCTCCCACTTTTTTCAAAAAATCCAATTAAAATCGGTTAAAATATATAAATCGACTGCAAAAATAATTTACTTTACCGATTATTGTTGATTACCTCGATTGTAACCGGATTTTCGTCGAAAATCAATTTGAATCTATTCAATCGATTAAAATCTCAATAAAAAAATTCAATTCAGTGATTTTTCATTTGATTGTCAACGATAATTATGGTAGTAATTTGATATTAATCGTGAATTGATTTTAATCTCAATCGATAAAAACCAATACAGGGACTGTCAATGGATTATCAACGATTACTAGTGTAGTAATCTCATTTTAATTATCGATCGTCTTTAATCTTTTCAATCGCTTGTCTCGGTTTTGGAGAATACCAGTAAGCTATATACAGAACCTAATGATTCGGACTAATATATGGCATTTTGGTCGAAATATTAATTACTACTATAACTGCGGTAGATAATAATGTCATGTAGTATTTATTAGGATATCAATTCTACAATATAAGAGCTTTTTCCAAAACATAATTTAGTAAAAGAATTCGTCTGAAATTGATTGTAATCAGTAGAAAGCTCATCCAAAACATGAATACTATTTCATCGATTTCAAAAAGTGGCAATCAAGTGAAACCGATTATTTTCGAACGCAGGAGGCACACATGAGGTGAGCATAACCTTTGAGGATACCAATTATGAAAGTCCTTATACACACAGAGGTATTATATAGAAAAAAGTAAAATTATGCATACAATTGATTAATATCGATTGCAATATTTTAACACATTAAAATTGATTTTTTTCATTTTTCATCGAATGTAATCAATTAATGATGTAATTGCGTCATCTCAATATGAGACACTATATATAGTAGTTTCAAATTGACTTCGTATGTCAGATCTAAGCCTGGTAACAACTTCATGATTTCTCATCACGAAGAATCCAAAAAAGTTATGAAAAATCAGTGTTTCGCGTCTGAATATTGAGAAAAGCGCTAAGCTTCCATGTACATGATTAAAATCAATTTATAACTAACGACAGATTCCAATCGATTAACCGGTAATAATGGATTGAAGTAGATTATTAGGTAAAAATGAAGTGGAGAAGATTAACAGGTAATACTGCATAGAAACATATAATCAGCATGTAAGAAAAGACGGAAAATTCTCATTTTAATTGAATTTTTCGTCTTTTTTAAATGCAAAAAGCTCTATTTAATTTTATTTAATTTCAACGTTTATTTCGAAACAAAACCTAAATTTCAATGGATTATAATTTAGATTTTTGTTGCAGAATAATCGGGTTGTTGATTTTGATTAGGGCCACAGGATTTCGAAATTTTAATCGATATTAATCGCTAAAATTTTTTATTAGAATGCCTTCTAAAGATATCGCAATCAAAAGGATTTGCACTAGGCTAATCTTTTTTCTTGTCTCATGTGTAATACAAACTGATGGCCACCAATCAGAAGCTCAACTGGTCTGACATTGTTATTGGTGAACCACATGAGAACACTTTACTTGTGCAACAACCACATCTTCTGGTTCGCTTAATCCTTGAATGGTTTGAAATTTACCAAGAGAAACATAGATTTCACGATAGAACATTTTTTAACGCAACTTAATCGACCTGAATTTCAAGTAGCTTTACCTAAAGATTATTGTTAATAATCTCAGGGACGACAGGCATTGCTTGATTCGTTAATATTAACGGTTAACAAGTGACTCAAGTGTTAATAAAACTCTCTCCTGATAGTTGGTTTTGGATCAAATGCATTATAGCCTTATAAAATTTTAGGAGATGCTGGGGCTGTAATGAGGGAGCTGTACTAAAATTTTCAGCCCTACGCCATAGGTTTTTCGAGGTATGCATCAAACAAGGATAAAAAATATCTCATTTGGTCTCCAAAAATCCTTTCTGGGCCATCATTCTGTATATTCAGTTTGATTTTTTTGAAAGAGCATATCATAATACACAGTCTGTCAAATTCTTTTTTAAAATTTTTACTTTTTTTCAGGGTGGAAAGGGATCATAAATCGATATTCAAGAAATTCTCTTAAAATGGTAAAAGAACGAATTGGTGGGAAGTTTTTTGGTAAACGAATTCTCACCCTTTTTCTCCTCTATAAAAAAAGAGCAGAATTTGAAAACAGGACTTCGAGAAGCATTACATTCTACCGTGTTCTGTCAAACGAAAAAATTGAATATACAGAACGAAGGTCCAGAAAACTTTTTGCGAGATCAAATAAGATATTTTTGAACCTTGTTAAATGGATATCTTCCAGCAGCCTCATGGTATAGGGCTGGAAATCTTAGCATAGTCGTTCCATCACAGCGAAACATGTCCTAAAAATTTCATGAGACTTTAAGGTTCTTGACTGTAAATTGACTTTGAGGAAGGATGGTCTTAATATTGCGTTTAGATAATATCTGGTAATGCATAACCTACTTAAAGGGAAAAGCATAAATGGTTCACAAAGGGTAATACTGTTCCATTTAGTTTTTCTCTTTCAGAAAGGCCTATTTTGTGAAAATAAGTGTTTTTAAATAAATCTTGACTCGAAGTGTTCGGAATCGAGGAATCCGAATTTCTATACAGATTTTCGAAATTTTGGGAATACGCTTTGTTAGGTCTTGCCACCTCAAGTTTTATGTTGTTAATCAAATTTTCGAAAAACAAAGTTATTTTCGAAAAATAGATCTTCCTGACGAGAAAATTTGATTGAAGTAGTATTATTCTCAAGAGAAACGCTAATTCACTGAA